CCAGCCAACGCCTTCTGTCGCTCGCCGCAAATGTGTCAGTGTCGCCGCGGCTACGATGCCATCAAATCGGCGCACAATGGCACCCATTACTGCGAGCCACGTTGCGCGTCTGGCTGTCCCTTTGGTGGCCGTTGTGTAGCGCCCGATGTATGCGAATGTGCGCCCGGTAACCAAGCTCATGCCACCAGTTGTGTACCCACCTGTGCCTCGGATTGCTTAAATGGTCGCTGTGTGGCGCTAAATCAGTGCAGCTGTAATTTTGGCTATGCCAAGGATTTGGCAAGCGGCGAGTGTGTGCCGCTGGCAGATTGTAAGGCGTTGGAGTGTGAAGATCTGGCAAGCAGCAGCAGCGAGGGCATCGAAACGACAACTCAGGAAACTTTTGAAAGCACCGCGGCATTTGAACTACAATCAACCGAATTGAATTTGGAGACGCGCTCCGACGACGGCGATGTTGATGAAGGTAATCTGCTTTTTCCCAGCAACGAGGAGGAGACGAATTGTACACTTCAGCCTTGCATCGATAATACTGTCTGCAAGCTGGTTGGTCGTTGCGCATGCGCCGACGGCTTCATACGCCATCAGCCGGCGCCAGTGAATGGTTTGGAAGTGGGGCCGATTTGCGCGGCGATTGTTGAACAGGGCGAGCCATGGCAGGACGGAAGCGCTGGTAGTAGCTGGGTGGGTGCATTCTTTATTGTTGTGGGCGTGACAGTAATGATGGGCGCCTTGGTGGTGCTGCTGCTCAAGCTGTGGCGGCATCAGCGCGGCTCACTGGACGTGGAAGGTGAGTGCGTAGAGAGGTTTTGGTGAATTTCTTTGAAATTTGCCCAAAAATTTAAATATATTTAATGGGAATTTGATGTCTAACTACTTTGCAGGCAAAAGCGATATGTGCTGTAAATATGACAAAAACAGCTCCAGCTCGGATAGCGGCCATGTAGATATGAGTTAAGTGTTGATTGTGTTTTCATGATTAAGTAGCGTTTGTATGTTTAGACTGTATTTTGATATACTTTAAGCTTTAACTAATAATGTCCCTGCCATTGATTCATTTATTGTAAAAATTTATATTTACTTTTTATGAATAAATTTAATGCAAATAAGAATTTTTATTAAAATTTGACATTTTTATTGTTTTGGGGTGCATTACAATTGATATAAATATGTAGATATTCCTCATAAGAAGTTTTGTAAATAATTGATTTTGGAGCCCCTAGGAAGACACCTAAAAGGCGTAGGAAAGGAGCCAGAAGATCATATACAAATTTTGGTAGGTCAAAATGGACAAACCTAAAATCTTCGGGGAACGGGTGAAATAACACAAACGGCAATAACGAAAAATTTGCTTTATTTCACTTTTAAATGGGAAATAATACCAATATCTGAGTTTTGCTTTACTTCCAACAAAGGTTGGGAATAAAACAAATTTTGCCTTATTACCCATTGCTTATTTATACTATTTGTAAAAAAAAAAAAACAGTTTACTGACGGAAGGAAAAAGAATATTGTTTATTCCAAAAATACAACTAAACCAATGCACACTGAACAGGTAATATCAGTATAGCAGCTGATTTGATTTTTTTCAAATTATTTGTTCTCGGAAATGTCAAATATTTTACATTTCTTCTCACAAAAATTCTAAATTGTTAAAATCTATTTGCATGTGAAACATTTTCCATACAAAACCGGCGATTAAATAGCAGCTTTTGGAAAGCTCGCCCAACTCAGCAGCACAACCGCTGATTACTGGGCCTGGCACAGGATGGATCAATGCTTCGAGAAGCGAACCAATTTACTAAGAAAGAAAGTTGCAACAATTTTCATTTTTTTTCAATTTAAATTTGTTTTCCTCTTTCTAAACGGTTATAATGCCACCAGTACATAATTGCAAAAGGAGGGGAGGGGCGGGGGACGCGAACGCGACGTGATGTGGGTGACTACCTACATATGTGCACTATTTTGCTTTATTACTCAAATTGTTAAGTTTAAAAGCTGGTCTTATTGCTCAACGAGAAATGAAATAAAGCAAATTTGTATTAATTCACATTCAATTCGGAAATAACACAAATTTGCGTTATTGCCGTTTGTGTTATTTCACCCCCCCAAAAAATTTTCTAATCCAGAAAGTACTGTACCTTGTTACTAAAAGACAATTTTTGGCAGCTTTCTAGATTGAATATTTAAGCAAGTATTGTCCAATTGCTAGGTCAAATATAGAAGAAAAATTCATTACGCAGTGCCTAATTTTTTGAATTTATAAAAAAAAAAATTTAAGCCGTTGAGTGGATGTTTAGCACTCTAAAAACGGCTTTCCAATTACTTCAGAGTATTTACTTTTAACCAATTGCACTAAAAATATGTCTTTAAAAATGAACTTGCTTGCCTGGTGGTGTTTTCTCTACGGACGCTAACAAATACAAATATAATAATTCCCACAAAATAGGGGAATATCAATTGATACTGAAATTAAAAAACGTACATAAATNATTAATTCACATTCAATTCGGAAATAACACAAATTTGCGTTATTGCCGTTTGTGTTATTTCACCCCCCCAAAAAATTTTCTAATCCAGAAAGTACTGTACCTTGTTACTAAAAGACAATTTTTGGCAGCTTTCTAGATTGAATATTTAAGCAAGTATTGTCCAATTGCTAGGTCAAATATAGAAGAAAAATTCATTACGCAGTGCCTAATTTTTTGAATTTATAAAAAAAAAAATTTAAGCCGTTGAGTGGATGTTTAGCACTCTAAAAACGGCTTTCCAATTACTTCAGAGTATTTACTTTTAACCAATTGCACTAAAAATATGTCTTTAAAAATGAACTTGCTTGCCTGGTGGTGTTTTCTCTACGGACGCTAACAAATACAAATATAATAATTCCCACAAAATAGGGGAATATCAATTGATACTGAAATTAAAAAACGTACATAAATATGTCCCATGAATTTGAATTGTCATACAATTTACAGCGTTTTATTGCTTTTATCAATTACATAGTTCAAAAGCAATATGTACAAGTCACCAAAAAGGCACCCTCATTCCGATAGTGGCTTTGATCAGCCTTTTACTCGTCTGCAATATCTTTAAGAGTTCAAATATCACGACAGACTACTAGAAGAAAGCCAATACAGATATCTTTTGTTTCTGAAAATAAGTCGCACGTATGTACATACATATGTACATTGAAAACACATATGGGTAAGATATGGAAAAAATGTATAATGCATACACATAAGATGACAGACACCCTCTAGGAAAAAAATGCGGGATTGTTTCGAATAGAGAGACTTGCTGCAGCTAAGATAGAGGTCTTAAGTTACAAAAATAGTAGAATAAGAAAAACGAAAACAAAATTGTTAAAAAAAGATAGAAAATTTTAAAAACTTAAAACTGTGTATGCAGATTTTCTATAATTTATTATTTTTTTAAGTTTCTTTAAACTTTTTTATGCTTGGTTTTCGAGTAGAAAATATCGGCATGTCTGGGCTTAAGTTACAAAAACAAGCAAATAAAATGTGTAAAAACTTAAACAAAAAAAAAATGCGAATAAATTTTATCTACTAAATAAATTGAGGATAAGAATTGAAATTAAAAGAATGCCGAGAACTTTTTTGTTTGTTTTTAGTTGACATGAAATATATCATAACAATGCTTAAATTACAAAAGAATAGAAAAAATCAATAGAGATTGCAAGTTATTTTATAACAAAAAAAAATCTAAAAACATTAAGAACACTAAAAAATCAAAAATGCTACCCAATATTTTACAAAATAAATCGAGCAAAAAAAAATTAAATAAAAAAATTTTGTTGAGAAGTTTATGTCTATTTCTCGAGTCAAAAATATCGACATAACGACATAATTTACAAAAACAAGAAAAGATGGACAATTTAAAAAATCAAAGAAAAATAAAGTTAAAAACTCTGAAAAAAAAAGATTTAAGAACACTAATAAAGAAATACATTTTTTGCGAATAAATTTTGTTAAATAATTTGAGAATGAGAATTGAAATTAAAAAAATGTTGAAATTTGTTTGTTGGATTTGAAAATATATGCACAAACTAAGCTTAGATTACAAGGGAATGGGGAAATAAAAAAAATCAAAAAAATTTATACACATTAAGAAAACTAAAATAACAACAAAAATGTTATCCAATAAATTTTACAAAATATATAGAGAATAAAAATATAAATAAAAAATTTTTTTCTTGAAGCTACCATTAGAGCTTTCCCAAATTGTTGAAAATAAGGGCTTAAGTAACAAAAACAAGAAAATTTTTTCGGGATTCATTATTTGTTTTTCTGGTCGAAAAAAAAATTAATAAAAAATATATATTTTTTTTTATTTAAAACCCTCCACTAAAAATATTTTATCGCCAGCCGAAATTGTTACATATATAAATATGATACTACTTAGGCAGTCCTAAAAATATGTTTGAAAAATATAGAAGAGCTAAGCAGTTTTCATAGAATATAATTTTAATAGAATATAATTTCTAATTCTTCAACGAAAAACTTTCTATAAAATTTATGTTAAAAAGTATTCGAAATTTTATTTTTGGTTTTGCAATTTTGACAAAAAATAAAAAAAAGTTTTTTATCACGAAAATCTGAATTCGCCTTTAACAAATGAGATTCCCTCCCTATTTGGGTTTTATGTAAGTGAAAAGCTTACATATACAAATTTAAAAGAGAAAAAACATTTTTTATGAGAAGAATATAAAATTAACCAAAAATCTCTGAAAATTTTAGATTTTGTAGAATGTATTCAAAATATTAAAAAAAATAAAAGATACCGAATTAATTTTTTTTTTTTTAATTTTGATTGCTTTCATCCTCTCAAGAAATACATATTCTAGAAAACAAAATCCCGATTTTTGGATCACAAACATTCATATGTGTATTTATTTAAAAATAATTGTGTATGCTTCAGAAATAAGATGCTTTTTATATTGCTACTACGACTATGAACTCAATATTTTTCAAATTTGCTAGAATTTTTTCCTAGAGGGTACCAGGGTAAACTCATAAACACAAACAAAAAAGCAATTAGAAATAGATTTCTTCAATCCACACTGCAACAAGTGATAAAAATAGCTGCATACATATGTACATACATACCTACACGTGTATGTTTGTGCTTGGAACATTAAATTTTTGTCGTCACACCAGGACACTAATACGACTAACGTTAAAAGAGATAAAGATCAATGCGGCATGTAACGCTAAATTGACAGCTACCTGCAACTCGTATTATGCGTAGAGCCTACGATCAATAGAAGAAGAAATGCATACCTAAGAGGATACGTACAAAGCTACATATGTACATGAATGCATACATATGTTTAGGGGGATTCACAACGCATGTTAAGCGTCGTAAAATCTAAAGTCTTCAAATTTTTTCTTGCAAAATTATGGTTTAAATAATTGTAAGGACTCGCGCTGTGTATGATAAGAGCTAATTATATATTTTCTATTAGTTTAAAAACATTTCGGTGAAGTTAGAAATCGCCTAAAACGTTTTTAATCGTTATTTTATATAAACAAAAATTTTAAACTTAAGATTTTACGGCGTTTAGCACGTCCAGTGAATCTCCTTACCGTGTGTGAATATGTACATATGTAGATAAAATTTATAAAGTAGAAACATATTAGTGTCATAATAAGAACATTTGATTTTCGCTTTTTGAATACTAAAAATTTCAAATTAAGTGCCTAAGAACGTTATGGAATATGTATGTTTGAGCGTGTGTAAGCATGTGCTAACCAGACGAGCCAGTACTGCGATAAATGAAATATGTATTTTGTGAATGTAAAGTGTGAACAATTTGAAGAGATTTGTAGCTGAGCCTTATAATCTAAAACTAAATTCGGTACCAATAATATTTTCTTGGTCATAAAACACACGCATTATACATTTTAGGATACATATGTGTACGTATGTACAAGTATGAATATTAGGAACCATGGGTCTAAAATCTATTTTGAGTTTCCCAAATCGCGAAAATAGGTTTCTTAACATTTTGCTGTATGTCGTAAAGGAGTACTTGAATTATGCATAAAAATATACTACAAGGAGTTTTTTAGTATGAGGAATCCATTTCCATC